AGGACTCCAAGATCTTTTTCACACATCCTGCTCTCAAGCCAGGCATCGTCCCCCATTCTGTATCTTAGCATTTCCTTTTTCCTGCCTAAGTGGAGTATCTTGCATTTGTCCCTGTTGAACTTCATTTTGTTAGTTTTGGCCAATCATCTCTCTTATCTGTCAAAGTCGTTTTGAATCCTGCTCCTGTCCTCTGGAGTATTGGCTATCCCTCCCAATTTGGTGTCGTCTGCAAACTTGATGATCCTGCCTTCTAACCCTTCATCTAAGTCATTAATAAAGATCCTGAACAGGACTGGGCCCAGGACGGAACCCTGCTGACGGCACTCCGCTCGTCACTTCTTTCCAAGATGAAGAGGAAGTATTGATGAGCATTAGACTATAGTAAATAGAGCATTATTTGGAATCACAACTTTCAGTGTCCTCAAGCCAACATGGCCAAGTGTGGGGAATTCTGGACACTGTAGTCCCAGTAAATCAAGCTTCTTATAATTACCTCTCAACAAAAGTTTGCTCCAGGCACAGTCAGCCCTTTGTATGCTAATCAAGGTGGTCAGTTGAAACATTCACACCTAGCTCCAGCAGACAAGAGTCATTTGTCCCACCCTGGTCTTTCCACAGATATATAAACCCATTTTCCTACTTCCAACAGACCTCACTACCTCTGAGGATGCTTGCCATAGATGCAGGCGAAACGTCAGGAGAGAATGCCTCTAGACCATGGCCATACAGCCCGAAAAAACCTACAACAACCAAGCTTCTTATAATCTTATAATCAAAGAAGCTAGTAAACAAGATAAAGCATGTGGACACCTCTGAGACCAGTCTGGACTGACTTCAAAATAACTGTGTAGATGAGCCCCAAGGGTTTGCTTTTTTGTTACCTAAGTACCCCTTGAAAATGGCACTCACCTTGGCTGCAAACTCATTCTTGGCTTTGTAATATTCATCCACTGCATTCTGCAAACTGGCCACCCGTCCCTCGATTCTCTGAGAAAGAAGGGGGAAAAGGTATTTAATCTGGACTGGAAGGAATCCCCTATATCTCTCCTAGCCTGTTGTAACCATTTGGGATTTCAGATGAGATGTGAATTGAACAAATAAACAGAAACACGACAACTAAACACACACACAAATGAAGGATCTTATAGGACTCACAATTTTCTGTTATGTTTTGAAAATGCCTTTTTATTGTTTACTAGCTGTACCCGCCATGTGTTGCTGTGGCCAACCTCCCCTCTCTCTTTCTTTCCTTCCTTCCTTCCTTCCTTTGCTCCCTCTTTCCTGCCTACCTTCCCTTTTTTCTTTCCTTCTCTCTTCCTTCTCTTCCTCTTCCCTTCCTTCCCCCCTTTTCTTCCTTCTCTTCTTTCTCTTTCCTCCTTCTCTACCTCTTCCCTTCCTTCCTTCCTT